AGGCGCTGAGGGACATGGTTTAGTGGGCATGGGGGTGTTGGGTCGACGGTTGGACTCGATGATCTTAGAGGTCTTTTCCAACCTCAATGATTCTATGATCCCCGCAGAAACGCCCACCTGAGTCCGCTCCCAGAGCAACCGATGTTCTCCATCACTTAAGGAAACAAACAATCAAGCCTGAAGAACTCAAAAGGGGAAGAATAATCCAAGTTCAGCGTGGAAAGAGAGGGAAAAGCAATTTTCCCCTTGTCAAGATACTGCTTGTAAGAGCTAACCAGAACTAACCACGGTTTGCAAAGGAAGATCTGGGCTGGCAACTGACCTATGGTTTCAGGTACTACACCTGCTTTAGCCCTGGTTTTTTCTGGCTCGTTCACCTTTGTGCGCAGTCACTGTCATTGTTTTTTCAGGCAGCCTCTGCCGGTCAGGTCTCTCCTAGTGCTACTCAGAAGGCAAAGCATCAAAACCAGCGACCACAGTTGGGAAGTGACAGAAACTGGCCGGCTCCCTTGGCAAGGGCACCCACTGAGACTAACGCACTTTTAAACTCGGGTGTCAAACTGCAGGTCTCTGAAGTTTATTAGTTGTCAAGGACTTCGCTGGTTAAGAGAGGAATATTAAGCTTGAGGGTGTCTCCCTACCTTCGTGCTGTCTGCCACTTCCGCGACACACACCGAGAATCACCCTGCTGGGAATCAGCAGAGCCTGGTTATTATTGTTTCTTTTAATATTGGTATTACTACCGCCTTTGTGTGAGAACAGGGCTACCGTACGCTCGGGATACTTCCTTGCAATCTTGTGATGCTGCTGTTCCACTTCGTAGAGCAGAATCCACTATTACAGAAAGAGCGGACTGGCGTCGTCTTTCAAACAACAAAAACATGACAGAGGAGCAGCTTGCAGAACACGCTGCTGGAACAGCTCTGTCAGCGGCTCGGGCATACGTCACCTTATTTAATGCTGCAGAAAACAAAAGGTGGGATTAAAAGGCCTTTGATGACTCATCTGCAAACCCATCAAAGAGTACTGTATCTTATAACCAAGTTCTGCCCTTAAACATAAAAGTCTCTCTCCGACTTCAGCAGCATCTGTCTGTACTTGTTCCACCTCCAGCAGAAACTGTGGCACATCCAGTCTCTGCACGGGCTGAAGTGCAGACGTCGGGATGAAGGCAAGAGCAACATTTAGCAAGTCCCAGGTGAAAAGACAGCCAAGAGCCTGGCGGCAGCCACAGTTCAGCAGGATCAACGCTACAACCAAGAATTCCTCGTTATGGCAGTGAGATGAACAGAGGCGGCAATACATCTGTTATTCGGAGGCGTTATCTCTCGCCTCTCAGACATACAACTAACTGGGACAAGCACCTCGTGTGGGCTGGCATCATGAGAGGCAAATCTCAAATACTGAGACCAGCAGAGTGAAGTCAAACAATCCCTTCATTCCTCCTCCCCAACGAGCAGCCTCCCGCTTCATCCCTCGACTGCAAGTTTTCATCTGGTAAAAAAACACAGACCATAGCTTAAGATTTTGATCCAGCAAGAGTCTGCAAAGAATTGTCCTTGCCCTTCCCAAACAGGACAAGCAGGATTTAAACTTACAAAGTATTAGTGAACCATTACTTCTTATTCAATATGAACATGCCAATCAGGTTTGAACTGGATCAAAAGCCAGTACAAGCTTTTTTCCTTCCCCACCTCACATCCAGTTGTAGCTCAAATCACGTTCAGTTCTCGCTTTGGCTCCTGGCAGCACAGCAATCTGACACTTCCAAACTCTGCATTTGTTTGTGCTTAAACTAACTAAAGGTGGGAAGTGGCAGCAGCCACCTGAACATGCAGTATTGACACTCACATTGAACAAGGCCACAGAACAACCACTAAGTCCCCCAGAAATCAGAATAAGCTTCCCTAAAATAAAAAAATTAAATAACAACGGATTAAAAACATAGGTTAGGTGTCAAAATTGCCATCAGCTAATCACAAACAACCACTAGTCCCCCAGAAATCAGAATAAGCTTCCCTAAAATAAAAAAATTAAATAACAACGGATTAAAAACATAGGTTAGGTGTCAAAATTGCCATCAGCTAATCACAAACAGCCAACTCGACTCCTAACTTGCCTATTAGCCAGCTTGCTGTTTGAAGGATGAGAGATAGGAAACGTTTTCCAAGAACATACAAAAAAGGTATGGACAGATCTATTCAAAACGCAGTAAATAAGGTCTTAAGTTCCAGGTTACTCTCATCTCACATCTTCTAGAAATAACTGTGGGCGATTGGAGAAATTGACTTGTCTATTGTATTCTTCCAGCTTCCCACAGTACAACTGTGATCAGCACCCAACCCACCAGAGGGCTCTGCTGCAGTCTGTTAGACTCTCTTCCTCGGAAGTTTGGCAAAGATTAAAATAATTTAAAGAATAAACTGGCTTTTTGCTTCAGCCAGTAAGTCTTTAATTTAAAAAAAGGGAATTAAGAACTTGCCCGGATGCGTTCACACACCTGGCTGCTCTTGAGTGAACTGTCACAGGCAAACAGCATTGCCAAAGGTCACATTTTGATGGTTTTAAGCAGAAACAGCAGCAGAGCATTGTATCACAAATCTAAAGAGGTGAACTGCAGTTGCTCCTGCTTCTGCCTTGTACCGTGAAACCAGCGAGAGACAAAGGAGACAGCAGCTGCCTCTCCTCCCGAGCTTTCAACTGTGATGGTCCAAATTCAGAGGGTTCAAAACAAGGTTCCTCTTCCACCAGCTGCCTCTACCAGTGTCTCGAATCCACCAGCTCCGGGCGGAGGCTCAGCTTCTTCAGAGTTTCATACCCCACCACAATGACGATGGTGGAAGGAGTGGCCGAGATGATGCGGGCAGAGAGGCCTTTAGTCAGGCCCCAGGGACCTTCCTCTGCCATGAGCTGTCTGAAGGTGAGGATGATGGAGCTCTTGCCTTCCACCTGCAAAGCCAGAACAAATATTCACAGAGCTGCCAGACTTCATGCTGAGCTGCTCTGGGGTTCTGCTCCAACTGAGGACTCTAGAGACTACAGATCAGCCAGTCCAGCCAACCTTGATCTAGAATCCAGAATTCCCTGTGGGGGGGAGGGGGGGAGAAACAAGAAGTCCTAAAGAGGCAGCAGTAAGTGGGATTCTTAGATCTGTTTCCTCCTTCCTCCCATCTGCCCCCATGTAGAAGGGGCTGGATCAACACGACAGCTTGAGTCTCACTAAAACTGACACTGCTAGAAGCACCTCTCCTTTTCTGAAGGATGCCACATCTGCTAGGGAACCTCATTTGAGCAGTCCAGGTAGGCGAAGCCAGCCTTGCTACCTGAGCTGTCTCCTATTAACGCCGAGTGCAAATTAAGCGGCATATCTAGGACAAAACAACCTACAAACAGAGAGAGAAGGGGAGCCGTTTACCTGAAGTCACAGAGATCAAAGAGCTGAGACCGAACCCCACCCCTGCGTCATGCGCTTGTTGCAGACAGACATGCCAAGCAGGCTGAGCTCTTACCTGAACCCGAGCCCTGATGACATCCATGGGGTTGGTGAGCGTGGAAGCTGTTGCAGCTGCAAGTGGCCCCGATATAGCTTGCAGGAGGAGATGGGGACAGTCTTTAGGAGTCAAGCTAGAAAGCTGTTCTGGGAATGGGAGAGAGAGAGTAAAGTTTCAAACAAGTGGCTGCTTATCAGTTCCTTACCTCCACCTGCTAATTTAGACTGATTTGCAGTGGGCAGAACCCCTGATTTACAGCCTGTCACCTCCTCCCACAGCATGTCTAAGTGGTGCTTTCTACATCAACCAGAAAGTTAGCAAAGCACAGGGAACAAGCCCGTAAACACCCTGGCGGCTCAGTGCTCCATCATACATTCTCTGATCAGCTCCAACACAGGCTCTCAGACCTGCTGGGCAAACAGGGCAGAATAAGCTTGTATGTCCCCAAAACAGAGCACAGAAACCTTCGCCCCCCCTTTAAAAGGCAGGGGGGGGAACCTTTAGACAAGGCTATCAGAAGTTGTCCGCAGAGATTTGCACAGATCCAGAAAGCTGTCACTACCACCAAACACACTGTCCAAGAGATATCTACATGGTATCCCGCTGTGGGATCTCTAAGGAGAAAAGCGCTGTGTACTGCTCATCCCAGGGACTTCCTCATTCTGCTCCTACTACCTGGCAAACGGGATTTGAATCTCCCACGCTTTTATTGGTTAAAGTTGTACGGAAGGCAGTCCAAAAGTCCCAGTTTCTTTGGATGATGTGGTGGTTGTGTCTATCTGGCAAGAGGGAAGGAAGCTGCTCTGTTCGTGACCCAGAACACCGATCTGAATCACTGCCAGCAGCATACTTTGAGCCCCGAGGAAGGTTCAGTGACTCCTCCTGCTGCCAGCCAAGACCAGCACACTATCCAGGGACAGAGGACTAGAAAAGGCAGCCAAAGTAGAGATGTATTGACACCTGGGGCTTACGTTTGGTGTCATCTTGATTTCCACTGCAGAAGACTAGGAAAGAGAGCAAACGTCTGAAAGAGGCAAGCTCCGTTCTCTCCATATCAACTTGCTTGTTCTTAGATGTCCACTTTTGAACCTTTTTGGCACGCAAGCTTTACAATTAATACAGTGGACTTTGGTATTAAAAATTGTTGACACGGAGAGTGAAGGGACAGCTCCTGAAAAGTTCAGGATGGACCAACATCCCAAGCTGCTGTCGCCATTTAAATGCAGCACTGATGCGTAACCAGTGCTCCCCGTTGTTACCAGAATGTGCCCAATCTGAAAAGCAAACTAGACACTCGAGACACCTGTATTTTTAAAAGCAGGTGATTTCCAAGATATACTTTAAGCCTAGTACAGTGAAGTCTAAGCCTCTCGTTATCACCACTTTTAGGCAGATTGCTATTAGGTAAATATTAGTCTAAAAGTCACATGCAAAGCTGCATGACAGAAATCTAAAGGATTATTGGGGGGGGGGGGAATATATCTTAGCTGGCCAATATCTTTAGTATTTGGGAAACACCCTGAGGATTACCAGAGCTGAGCTAGGGAGAGAGAACATACTGTTAAGTGTAGTTTTATATCACAAGGCTTGGTGCCAGTTTTAAAGCTACGGAAACTGAAGCACAATGTTAAGACACAAAACCATGGAAGATTTGACCTTTGTCTCTGCCTGTTGTTTGGTTTTGCTATGAGATTTGTGGCTCTAGAAGTCTTTTTGCCATATATGAGACTCCTGAGTCCATGTGAACTGAAAGATGAATTATACTTACACGGTGGCTTCAAAACTCTGCCCAATGCCAGACAACAGCCTTCCTCACTTCCATGCGGAAAGTAGGCATTATTTGGGATTAGTGGAAGAGAAAGTTAAAGTATCAAGTCCCTCTTGCCTAGAGCCACCTAGTTTTAAGTCCTCTAGCACTCAGACCCCTATTCTTTAACTCTGAATTTAAAACCATGCTGTTCTGTTAAACTTCCACCCAACATCTGCAGAATTCCTTTAAATTGGATACAGCTATTTGTTTCAAGACAGGTTCTGCTCCCACCCCAAATCAAAGAGAGAAAGCAAATCACGCTGGGTCCACAGTTTCAGAGTCTATCTGAGGGGCTTCTAGGTCTCCTGGAATAAGATACATTCAAAGTGTCCTTCCACTTACCGGCATAGAAGTGGTAGAAGGGCCACCAGACTGCACTGTTGGGAATATAGGTGAGCAGCGAGGCCACATAGCCCCTGTAGAAGCCTCTAAAGCCATCGGCCTTGAAAATCTGTACAATGATGTCCTTGGTTTGGCCAAAGACCAACATCCGCTTGCCATCTTGGTTCTGCACCTTAAACCTGCCCATGCTTTCCCCCTTCCTCTGCATCATGAGATGCTGGGAGATCACATCAATGGGCACCGTGATGCTCTGGGCCACCAGGGAGGCTGAGCCGCCTGCCACCAGAGACTTCACGGCATTGTTGTTGTTGTACCGTGATACATACTTTCGAGTGAGCTCATATGTTGTCACATAGCACTGCCCAGAGATCAGGGTGAAAGTGTTGACCAAAAAGCCACGGTAGAGCCCAGCTGTCCCTTCTGTCCGCAGGATTTTCACAAAGGCATCAAAAGTCCCGTTGTATAGGCTCTTGCCCTTCTGAACCTGCAACCGTGTCCGGATGAGTGTGAAAGGGTAAACGCTCACCCGGATCATCATAGTCATGCAAATCCCAAACACATAGAATTTCCTTTTGTCCAGGTGCTCCCACTCAATGATGGGGATGTTGCGTTTGTCCTCCATGACTCCTTGGAGTGGCGTAGGAGAGATGGTATGCCCCAGATCTACCTCAAAAGTACAGAGCAGATCCAGGCTCAGCCCAGTCTTGACTGACTAGATTGGAAGTGCTGGCATCTGAAACGAGAGACACTTTCAGTAGATGATGAAGCACCTAAGTTAGCTAAAACACCTACGTCACCTAACTTTGCTGATTTTCCTGAAGTACACAGAAAGCCCCTGCATAAACCATTCTGCTGGCAGAGCGGTGGGACTGTAACCTCAGGAAGCAGGGCCGTATCACGTGGTGGATGGCAGCACCTTCTGACGTCACCGTAGCCATTTGTTAAACTCTAACAGCAGCCTGCACACATGGCAGTTCTCACCACGGTCCAGACTACTCTGCTGCAAAGCAAAGCTTGCCAGACTTTGCAAAGCAGTTTGAGATCCACAGAGGAAGAGCACTGCTTCAACAGCAAGCACTACCTTTTAACGAGCACGCAGGAATACGGATTGTCAACCAAAGCAGCTTCTCCCCAGTCATTCCGTGTTTGTGATGCTCCTAGATGTCAGGATGTCACTTTTCAGTTCCAGGCTCTGTACAAAGAAGGAAGTGACAAGTGTCCACTTGTGTTCCCAGATTCCCTGCACAAATCAGACATGTTTTTCTGGGCATTTCCATTTTGACCTTCCTAAAGCTGGAGGGTGATGCAAGCCAGGGATGGGGGAAGAGAAAGTCGTGAAAAGAGGAGCAACAATGGGAGAACAAGGCAAATGCAAACAGCCATGTAGAGTCTCTACATTGATGACCACGACCCTGAAAAGAAAGGGTTAAAAATCACGGCCCAGGGATCTCTCAGTTGAGCAGTGCCTAAATGCGCTTTTCAGCTAAGGTGGGCAAAGTTCATCCTCACTTCCAATACTGCATCATCGCTTCTGGTATGATAACACTCACAAACCTGCCAACCTTCCAGTTTTGGCAGCATTCGGAGTACCAGGAACTGCGGGACGAGGAGGGGAGGTCCTGGTTCAGACTCCTCCGGCAGACCCTTCCTGAGCCTGGCTCCTGCCCCTGATGCACTATCGCCATGTCTCAGCCCGCAGGCAGTCACCAACAACTGCTTCCCCAGACGAGACTCTCGGTAGTTCCACCCATCTCCCTTTTGGCTGTAATTTGCTCTAACTTGGTGTAGGTTTAACCAAGCTTGGAATAAGCTAACCTCCTCGCAGGGCCAGGCATGTACAAGCAAAAGGAGAGGAGCACCTCAAAGAATCAACCCAACATGAAATTGATTATTTCACTGGCCACAAGGACTTTCCTCCCACATCAGAAAAAGCCTACAGGTCTTCAGGAATAGCACACTGCTAAATTATTAGAAAGGGCTTGACTGCAGCCGCATCACAGCTTATATTCCAGGCTCTGGCAAATGGAAATTTGAAGTCTGTGCACAGGCACAAGCTGAACTGTTGGAGAGCACAGCAATACCAAGTGGCTCCACTTGCAAACGCAGAAACTGGAACAAGCGTGCCAAAATCAGAGATCTGAAAACAGATTCACTTTGAATCTAGACCGAGTGAGAACTCAAATTTAGCATGAGATGCAGTCAACACCATACGCCAATTTAGGGGCCATTTTACGTTATCAGTGTAATGCAGAAAGGCCAGAGCATAAATGTCTCTGAATTGCAGGCTTCACGAAGAGAGCTCAAACAGTCAAGAGCCATTTGGTTAGAAATGCAACAACAAAACAACTGGTAATTATTTACCTCTGGCGCGGGGGAGAAGAGTGGGGGGGGGGGGGGGGGGGGGATGTTGGGGAGGTGCTATTAACAGACCATTTCATTGCCTATCTGCCAACAAAATATTTGCTCGACATCTCAGCAAACAGCGTTACAGGCTGCCACGGCTCCTGCTGATGGACAGTGAAAAAAATACCCGAGGGCACCTGGGTCCAACAGGGAGGGCGAGGGAAACCCTATTTTACCTAGTACAAAGAAAACTACACTTCATTGTTACAGTCAATTGACTTGACAGATAACACAGAACAAATACCATGGCTTGTCTAAACAAAACTTGTATTGTTTTAATTGTAATTACAGTATTACTGGCTTGCTAATACATGCACAATTAGACAGCATAAAGCTTCCTACACAGGAATTATCTGCACACAGCACCTATGAAAACATTATTTTGTTCTTGTTAGGAGTCCCACTAGCTTAATATTTTATAATAAAATAAAATAAAGCCTAGCCAATGCAACTTCCTGGTGAAGCCTGAGGGTTTAGTCCACACTCCAAATTCCTCTGCCACCCAAAAACTGAACCATATGTAACAGAGCTCCCCACGTGAAAGGTAAGGTGTACTTGCTAAGAAAAATCCTCATTGCTGCAATAAGGAAAACAAATAAATAGAATCATAGAATCATTGAGGTTGGAAAAGACCTCTAAGATCATCGAGTCCAACCGTCGACCCAACACCCCCATGCCCACTAAACCATGTCCCTAAGTGCCTCATCTACACGTCTTTTAAATACCTCCAGGGATGGGGACTCCACCACTTCCCTGGGCAGCCTGGTCCAATGTTTCACCACTCTTTCAGTAAAGACATTTTTCCTTACATCCAAATAATAACAGAGCTCCCCACGTGAAAGGTAAGGTGTACCTGCTAAGAAAAATCCTCATTGCTGCAATAAGGAAAACAAATAAATAATAATAGAAAAAGTATCCTTGATTTTTATTTAGTTTTATGGGCTATAGTGCTTTGTTTTTAGAATTTTAGCCATAACCTCCTTGAGGAAATAACTGTACTTTCTTTGGACTCTTACTAGTAACTACTTTCATTCAGGATCTAAATTAGAAAGACAATGTCACTTTAATCCCAGGGCCCACAAGCAATCAAAGCCGTAAGTTCCTCCTGTGGGGACGTGAAGAGGGAAGGCATCCTGGCATCACCAGAGATGCTTCAATTTGACCACCACGGCCACAATTCTTGCTCTGCCAGGAGGAGAGTTTTGCTCAGAGCATTTATTCTTCCAGAAATTAAATCTAGGGCCTTGCTCAGAGCAGTGATCCTGTCGCATCCAGTTTCAGTAACTCTTTGACGATCTTTCAAGTAATTTTGGGGAGATCGATATAAAAGTAATTGCTAAATTTCAAAAGAACTGACCTGCCCTCCAAAACGAAATACAAGTACACCAGCTTCCCTCCCAGGTCACGGAGCCATTCTGTACTTCACCCCTTGAACAGCTGCCGTGCCAAAACTACACTTCAATAGAGCTATACAGACGGTGACTTCTCGCCATGAATAGAAAAGCATTTCTTGAATTTCTGCCTAGAAATTAAAGCGAAGGATTACCAAGCAGACTGTACCTGCTTCTGCTCTCTTGCTAGTTTGCAGTATGACCTACAGGATACAGCTTCAGTCTCCTAAACACAGACTGCAACTTAGTATGAACCCCCCCCCCCAATTTACCTCCTTTTTAATGCAGCCCCATCAATCCGTTCTCCAAACTGTTTTCACTGCAGCTGTTATCTAAATATGATTCTTTGGCAAATAAAGACAGGGCCTTTGTGTACCCCTGGCCAAGGGTGTCTCCTGCTCAGCATACTAATGCCTTAGCACGACGGCCTGGGAACCATCCAGAAGCAGGCGGTGAGGCCGCCTTTCCAAGCCCCAACCGCTATATGCGGTTGCCTGTGGAGATCCTCTCAAGTAGGAAAACATGAGATCAAACAAATCCACTGCAAGTCTCTCAAATTTGAAGCCTTTTATCTGCGCCACGTTACGCCGAACCTGGTCTAAGTAGGCAGCTCCGTTTTCAAAGTCTTTACTGTTGTGTTACCGTAAGTCATCTTTCAAACATAGAAAGATTCAGTAAAACTTAAGATAATCTTCAACAGTTGCACTCCTTAAATTTACCCCAGGATGGAAGTGGATATAAAAACAGCCTCACTGAAGATCTGCAGTTCCTCCGCGAGCAGCTGTCTCTCTGTAAACGATGAGGCAGAGACACTCCGAGGCCAGCACTTCCCAACACACCCACAGCCTTGTGCTGCCTTCCCCCCACCTCCTGCACGCAGGGGGCCTTGCGCAGGAGGCGGGCAGCTGGTGCAGCCAGCCACCCTCCTACCTTAGAGGTAAAGCCATCAGCGCTTCTGTTTGGCCAGATCAAAAAAAAAAAACAAACCCCCCCAACGTGCTCTAAAGGCAGCGAACGCGTGCAAAGTTTGGCACGGGACCCGCTCAAGGTCACCGAGCAGATTAGCGGCTGTGCGGACAAGAAGCCTTTCCCAGCGCCCCGGTTTCGTGTCGCAGGCAATCTCCCCCACGCAGCTGTGCTTCCTGCGGCCCCGGAGGCGCAGGGGACCTCCACCCCCTTCCCCGCGCGCCCCTGGGCTCCTCAGTGGCGCAGCACCCACCTCCTCAGCCG